CTTGGAAAAAGCCCAAATCCCAGCTGGCTCCCAGCACCTTTCCCTGCTCCATAGGGGAGATGGAAGGGTGCCGGGTCCTGTCGATATCCTTCTGTTTCCAGCCTCGTCCTTGTATTAATATCACTGAAGGAGGATGTGAAAGAGGGGAAGGGGAAAAGAAGCGGATGAGCTTTTCCATGCAAACTCCTCGGGATAAATGGGAACCCTCCTCTCCCCCTCCATCCCCAGCGATCACAAAGGGGCCTGAGACCGTGATTTGTTCCCTGGAAGCTTAAATCAACGGTGGAGAGGGGGAAATCAAACAGATAACGAGAATAAAACCTCCATAAAGACGCTGGCAAAGGCTCCTCTCCAACACCTCAAGGTCCCATTTCCAGCAGGCCTCCCTCTCCCAGCCTCTTTCCATAGGGATTTTGAAGCAGCGAACTTCCCAAACCAAGGCCTAATCCAGCAACAAAACAGGGAAGGCTCAAGGCCAGCATCTCCCTATGCACCGCCTGCCCTGCCTTGCTCAGACATGGAGGGGGACACCCAGGTTTTACCCTAAAATCCCTCTATTGCTGGCAACGCGCAGGCCGCCTCCAAAGGCCAGAGGCAATGACTTGGGGTTATTAACGCTATTACTGCCATTATTATTATCATTATTATCATTATTATTATTATCATTATTTAAGAGGCTTTTCATTACCGGGCAAAATTCAATGTGACCTCTTGGCTTGAATGAGTCGATTTGAGAGCACCACGACAGCAGGAGAAATAGTTATAATAATAATAGTAATAATAATAATAATAATTAATAATAATAATAATAATAAAACTGCAAAAACACCACAAGAAAAAGTTCAAAGAGGACCTAAACCCAACCTATTTTCTGCGGGGTGGGCAAGAAAACACAGAGGCAAGCCTGGAAGCGACCCCCAATGCCCAGCCCTAGCCTGGAAAGCCCCAATTCCTCCTTTTTTACCCCCATTTTTATGTTCTGAGATTCAGAAGGCAGTGGTGATGCCCTAAAAACCCTGGAGCTGAGAGTTCTCTTTAGGCTTGCTTCAACTGAACTTAAGCAGTCGCTGGTGCACATGGGCTTCATTGCACATTGTCCCAGCGTTTTATTATCCTTATTATGATGATTTTGGGGCGGGTTTGATGGGGGGGGGGGTTGGAGGGGGGGGAAGATATAGGGGATCAAATAAGTCACCAGACATAGAAGTAAAACTAATTCACACTGACTGGTTTATTGAACACTGGGACTTCCACGTACACACTAAAACTCTTTATTGCAAGGTTACAATGAGCAGGTCAAAATGGGTCCAAAAAACCACAAATAAGCACGATTTAAAAAAAAAGAAAAGGAAAGAAAGAAATAAAAATAGAGCCCTAGCTACCGACTGCTTCAAACCTTCTTCTGCTTTGCTTTCTTGCCATCTGCCACTCGGTCTCTCTCGCACTCCCCTTTGCCTTCTCAATTTGCCCAGCAAAGCCTCGTGTGCTGCTTCGTAGCGTTTTGTTTGCCCTTTTTTTCCCCTTTTCTAGTGATTTTAAACCTTCCCCCCCCCCGCCCCAACACCACCTTGCTACAAAAGAACTTCCTTCGCTCATTGTGCATTTGTAACGCAGAGAAAAAAAGGGGGGGGTAGGGAAATACCTACATTTCCCTTTTGTTTTGCTGTTGGTTCGTCTGCTTTTGGCGTCCAATATTCCCATCATTTCTCCATTTTTAGGACACAGAAGATTCCCCTTTGCCTTCTTTTCCCTTCCCCCCCCCCAACTCCCTCCCCATCCCCCCCCAGCTCTTCAAAAATAAATAAAACCCTTGAAACGGCGTTAAACCCAAGAAAAGAACCCCGCAGGTACAGACACCTGGCCTCATGCTACCGGACATGCACCTAAAGCCCGTGGTCTCGGGGGGGGGGGGGAACGGGGGGGACGGGACGGGACGACGACGGGACACCCGTTGGGTTTTATACGCACAGGAAAAAATCATCATCATCATCATCATCATCATTATTATTATAAGAAAAGAACTACGAGGGGGGAAAAAGGGAGGGGGGGAAAAAGGGAAAGAACCAAAATATATATATATATATATTAGATTCTATAAATAATCCAGAGTCATTTGTGTGCGGGTCTGGGGTTGGGGTTGGGGGTTTATAACCTGGTGATATCCTCCGTGCGCGGGTCCTGCGCGGCGGCGGAGGGCAGCTCCTCGCCCGCGGCCGTGCTCGCCGGGGCGGTGGAGGAGGCGGCGGTGATGGGCGCTGCCGGTGCTGCCCGTACTTTGGTGTTGGGCAGCCTGTGGTCTTTTTTCCACTTCATCCGCCTGTTCTGAAACCAGATTTTGATCTGGCGCTCGGAGAGGCAAAGCGAGTGGGCGATCTCGATGCGCCGCCGCCGGGTCAGGTACCTGTTATAGTGAAACTCCTTCTCCAGCTCCAGAACCTGCTGCCTGGTGTAGGCTGTCCTGGATCGCTTGGGTTCGCCTCCATTGTAATTGGGATTCACTGGAAAGGAGGGGAAGGAAAACAACAAAAAAAAAAAAAAAGAAAAGAAAAAAAAGGAAAAAAAAACAACAAAAGAAAAAAACACAAAAGAAAGGAAAGGAAAAAAATACAAAAAAAAAAGGAAAAAATACAACAAAAAAATAAAAAACACACAAGGAAAATCAGCGTGGATGGAGAGAGGGGACTGGAGGAGCCGGGGGGGGTGGGGGGGAGAGGGAAAAAAACACAAAAGTAATAGGCTAAATAGGTAATAAAGAACTTTGGGCAGCTCAAGAGTTTCTATTCTAATAGGAAGGGGTTTCCCTGGCTCAAAAGACTGAATTATTTATGCACCCCTTACAAAGCTTTCGGAGTTTCACACATACATAACAGAGCGAGCCACATGGCTAAGGCTGCCCACAGTAGCTCGGCTATAAAATTTATGGTGGGTGTAATTACCCATTCGGAGTCGTAAATCCAGTTCAATTGTGCTAACCCAAAGCCTCTCATGGAAGGGAAGGAAATAAAAGAGAGGAAGAGAGCGAGAGGGAGCGAGCATGGTGTGAAAAGAAGAGCCGAGAGACAGAAGAGGAAAATAAAAGTTGCATACCAGTACTGACGTGGATTTTTTTCATCCAGGGATAGACTATGGGCTGTTTGGATGCTGTGCTGGTGGGATGCTCGGGGTTTGGCTGGCTGCAGGCTGGAGGGGCTGGGGAAGGAGTGGTGGAGGAGGAGGAGGACAAGGCAGCTTGCTCGCAGAGCTGCTGCGCTTTCTCTGAGAGGTGCTGCCCTCCTGGAGCTGGCCCCGGTCCCCTTTGGAGCGTGGCCGGGTTGCCGGGTGCCTGGAGCCCCCCGCAGCCGAAGGGCCGGTCGGGGAAGGAGGGTCGCGGTACCGGGTACAGCTCCGGGTGGTGCTGGTAGCTGGGCTCCCTGCCCCGGCTATAATACTCCGGACTGTGGTCTGGGATGTAATTATTTTGCGAATATTCCTCGCATGGAGGAAATTTCGGATCGATGTAGTTAGAGTCCATCAAATAAGAGCTCATGATCATTAATTTCTGGAGTGGAAAATAATTTTTCTCGCTTTGTCGTTTTTCTGCTCCATAAAGCCCTCCTACTAGCTGGCGACCCCGTAAAGTTACTTTCACCATGTGACAGCCGCGGCCAATCACACCCGCCAGCCCAGGCCCCGGATTAGGAACCAAAAGCTCCTGCAAAATGCACCCAAATTGATGGGGGGGGGAGGGGGGGGCTTTGGGAGGGGGGGGGGGAGGAATGATGATGATGATGGGACCATGGGAGCGGGAGATGCGCATCAATGCGAAGGACACGGGTTCTGCGGCCGTCACCGCGCCTCTGGGTGGCTGGGGGGGGTGCACGACATAGGGGAGACCCCCCTGGGGGGGGGGGTGTGGAAGGGTGAGGGGAGTGTGTAAGGGTTAGGGTGTAAAGGGGGTGAACTGGGCACTGGGCATCCCCCCGCTGTCTGAGCTGGGAACAATGAGCCCCCCCTTAATCCCCCCCCCGGTGTGTGTGCATGGGGGTGTTCCCCCCCCCGAGCTGCACTGACCCTTCAGACCCCCCCAGACTCTCCCCCCCAGTAGCCCCCCCATCTGCCCCCCAATACTGAGGAGGGGGCCAGGGTAGGTTGGGGACAGAGCCAGGGGGTCCCGTCCCCCCCCCCCAAACCCTCCCATCCCGGAGGGGAGAGGGTTAAACACCAGCAGCACCTATTTGGGAAGTAGGGGGGGCGTTACCTGGAAGGCAGAGGCAGGTTTGCCCCCCCCACCTTTCCCTGCCTACAACCAGCGGTACAGGCAGGGTGAATCTGGGGCTCCCCCCTCATAGACAACGAGGACACCCCCAAAATGCCCCCGCTTTGCTTAGCCCTGGCCTTAAAGCAAAGCAGGAGAGACGGGGGGGTGGGGGATGTCTATGTCTTGCGGGGGGGGGGGGGCAGCACCCTGCTTCTTCCTCACCCTGGTGCTGTAAGTGAGGCACCCATGGGGTGTGCAGCACCCCAGGCCGCTTGACCCTTGCTTTGAGCATTGACCTCCTCATGCTCAAGCTCGGGGGGGTGTTTGTGTGCGTATATATATATATATATGTATTTATATATGAGATTACATGTATACACACAAAAATCCATATATATGGGGGTATATATATATTTATATATGAAATTACATATACACACACAAACCCCATATATATAGGCAGTATATAGCTGTCTATACGCGATTTGGGGTTAAAGCTAGAGGGACACGTTAAAAATGGCTCCCAGCACCCCAGCCCAGGTCGGGGAGCTGCAGATGGATGTCACCACTTTGGGCGGCTTTTCAGCTGCCTCAATTAGAGCTTTCCTTCTGATTTCTCCATCTCCATCTCGCCCTAAAGAGAGGGGCAGAGGAGGGAGGTGGGGTATTCCCTCCTTGTGCTTGATAACAATTATAGCTGAAAATCATAGCTTGCAGGGCATTGCCATATTTTACTTGATAACAATAAAAGTGACACATAAAGTTAACTGTTTATGTTTTATTTATTAGACTAAATGTGCCAGCGGTGTCGAAGGCTTTTGGCTGGTTGTTACAGCTTTTTATGGGGTTGTAAAACGCCATAAATCAGTCACCGCGAAATGGTCGGGGCTCTTTGTGCTCTTGGCTCAGAGTTGTGTTTGCGGTGGCTGCTGCTTCTTCTGGAGAGGAAAAGTAATAATGGGGGTTTATTTGGATGATTATCAGCCCCCCCCCACCCCAAATCATTTGCTTTTTCCCTTTTTTCCCCTCTTTTTTACCCCTTTATTTTTCTTCCCCCAATCTCCTATTATTATTATTATTATTACTATTATTATTACTATTATTATTACTATTATTATTATCAAGCCCTGGCAAAGATCAAACCCCGCGCTTACACGTTGTCTCAACCCCCCCTTTTGCAAGTGCCATCAGGAGGGTTTAATTAGGAGCGCCGCAATTAAGAGGAAAGCAGAACTTTCCAAGGCTCTGGCATCGCCCATATATTCCCCTAGAGACGAATTTGTGACTGGGAGACGCTCACACAAATTCGAGTCTACAGGGTACATATAGGAGACGGGGAGGGTTTTTGGGGGGGCTGGACCCCCCTCGGACACCAGCTCCGCATCCCTGGGGGACCCTAGGTGGGGTTTTGGGCTTAAATTGGCCTTTTTTAGGCTTTTTTTTTGGGGGGGGGGGTGAGGTTTATTGATGGGGAGGGGGGGGATTTGCAGGGCTTGGCTAATTGCTGGCCCCATTCACCGGCAGAGCCTGCTCCTTCCTAAAGTTGTAAATCCCGGTTTTACCTATAGAACCGCCTATCTATATCCCCCTATACAAAGTCAAATCCTTCCTCTTCCCCCTGAGGTTTTGGGATAGGGAGTGTAGGCTGGTAGGAGCTGGTTGGGGCCAAAAAAAAACACGCCTCCCTGCTTAGAAACGTATTCCGGAACCCAAACCATTGATTTCAATAGATCCAATAAATTCCTTTTCTCCAGCTATACTTCATCCTGCCCCAACACCTCAGACTCATGCAGGGCTTTGACATTTATAGTTGAGCCTGATGCAACAACTTTATTCCAAGGCTGAGGGAATATTGAATAAAGATGGAGAGTTAATAAAGTAATTTTTACCTACGCACATCCTTCCTTCTCTCCCCCCCCCTTTAAATATATGGGTTTCAATAAGCATCAGCAGAATAAATAAATATCCACAGGTAGTTCTCTTAAAGCTATGCTGGATGTTTAAAAATGTATATAATAATAAGAAGAAAAAATAGGGAAATAAAGCCCGAAACAAACAGGCACCAATCCAAGCACTGAATAATCCCAGGCGTGAAGGTCACAAACGGGGCGGCTCTGGACTCTGTCGCTTTCTTAAAAGGGGAAACTCAACTTTATACCCCCCTCCCTTCCCCTTTGCACCCCCCTGATCCCCACCTCGATAGATCTAATTTTAAGGACTTGATCCTCCATCCTCTCCTCCTGGGGTTGGGTTTTAAGGGGGGGGGCGCTTTTCTTAATACAAACAAAAAAACCCTAAAAATCAGATAGAAATCCTCAGGATTTCTTCCAAACGCGCCCCGCCCCCCCCCCCCAAAAAAAAGCCTATTTTCCTCTTTTTATTATTTTTGCCTTCATATTTCCCCCTTCCCTTTGCCTTTTAACCGGAGTCAACCGGTGCCTCCTGTTAAAGTGGTTGGATTTTGTATTTATTTAATGCAATCCCCCCCCCCCCCTTTTTTGTCTTTTTCGCTGTAAAATAAGTCTGCAGGGACGTGTGAAGAATAGTTGTACAAGAATCTGGCTCTTTTGTCTATAAAGCAGCCCTCCCACCGCTCTCCATCCCTCGTCCCCCCACCACCGTGCCGAGAAACACTTTGGGGAGGGACAAAACCCAAGGAAACGCAGTACCTCGGCAGCGAAAAAAAGCAGCAAAAAAACCCAAAACCAGGCAGAAAAACTGGGGGGAAACATTAAAATTGACTCATTTCGGGCTTTATTTCCTTCTCCTACCTAGGGCGAGGGTGGGAAATGGAGAAGTGGTTAGTGTCGCGGGGGGATTTGGAAGTACAAAGCGCCTTTTTGACAGTACTGAAGAAAAATCAGGATGCATTGTCTCTCCGGATTCATTGTGCTGGCTATTACCATACTGACCGTTTGGTAACCTGTACCGCGGCCCATTAGCAATCTGTGCTCTCCAGCAAAAAATGAAGTACCTATCTACTGGGGGTTGGTTATCCCGTGTTTCCTAAGAATAGGGAAAGCGAAGGGGAAAAGCTCGCCGAGGGTGAACTCTGCCTCCTTGGGATGCGGGAGGTGGGGATCAAATTGGGAGCGGAGTTTTATTGCGAGCTTGGTTTAAGGTGATGATCTAAAGAGAGCTAACCCCCCCTCTCCATGTATATATGCACCATTTAAACAGTTGCGTTCTCCCCACCGCAATCAACGCCAGATAACGAACGAAACCCCCATTTTTTAGCTCCCAACTCGAAAGCCCTTTGGCTTTTTGTCCCTTCCGAACGCAAGCAGACAAGGTCTAAGCCATGCAAAAGGGATATGCAAATGGCTAATTGATTTTTGTTCTCCCCCCCCTTCCTTTAAATCTGTTGTCAGTAAAAGTAATGAATCGACCTCAAACGATTTTAATAAGCAAGGGCTGTCACCCAAACTCCTGGCCTGCCCATTTTTCTTTGGAGCCTCTTTGCTCTCAACCAAACCAATAACGTAAATATTTATCCCTTCGTTTTAACGCCTTCAAAGACGAATCCCTCCGCTTTGCGACCAAATAGCAACTAAAATATGCAAACCAGGTTCTCCCTTCCCTCCCCCCCCCCCTTTTTACCATCCCCCCCCCCAGGAATTCAATTTTCTTCAAATCTCGTTGAAAGTGGCTTTTTAAAAAGTGGGCGCATTTTAATATTGGTGAGACAGCGTGACCTGAATTTCACCTCAACTGTTTGACTTGATCCAATAGGTCACTGCCAAGGAGTTATTGATGGGGGAACTCCATTGAAATTTCTCTCCTCACAAATGGCCTTTAGATCTTCTAGCGAGTTCAATAACTAGTTATAATGTAGAAGGGGAAAAATGAAGCCCAGAGGCAAACTAATTTGATGTTTCATTTTTATGCCGGAGAAATTGTTGGTTTTTGTTCCTCTCGGCCCCTTCGCCAAGGAGAAGGGGACCAAAAAAGAAAGGGAAGGGGGTCGGAGCGAAGCCCCCTCCGCACCGAGGCTTCGCTGGGCTACAAATAAGCCCAGATTTTAGTCCTCGATTAATTGGTATCGGCGCTTCAGCCCGAGAGCTCCTCGGGACTCGGTGGAGCAGGAGCTCAGCAAGGGTGAAACTTGCTGTTTGGTAGGAAAGACACCTTTTTCCCCCCCTTTTTCCCTCCTTTTTAATCTTTTCTTTTTTATTATTATTGTCATCATTATTTATTTTTTTCCTGTATTTTTTATTTTCTTCATTTTCCTTTTTTTATTTTTCTTTATCTTTCCTTTTTCTCTTATTTCCTTTTATCCTTTTCCCCTTTCCCTTTTTTCCTCTCCCCCCCCCATCAGAAAGCGATCGTTTGAACCAAATCCACCAGTAACCAAGTGACACAGCTCCCCTCTCCATCTCCTCCTGCACTTTAACAGGACCCTGCAGCTCTGCTCCCCACACCCCCCCCCAAAACAGACACCCCCTCCCCTTTTATTCCTCAGATCACCCCACTTCATGTGACCGTATCTGGGCTCTTCCCTCATTTGTTGGCCTTGGGGAGGGATTTCTCCCTGTTATTTTTTTCGAATCCGTTTTATTTGGGGCTTAAAATCTTTGTTTGAACTCGGGAGGGGGTTATAGGAGTAGGGGGGCTCTTGGAGGCAGAGGAGAACCTGGCTGGAGGATGCTTTTAAGTGATGTATATACAGGAGCTAAGGTTTCTCCTTGACTTTTTCATAGACAAAGACGACTTTTACACTGACCCACCGGGTAATTGCTGAACCCTGGGTTAAGTTGAAAAGAAAACATTGGGCTTGGATTGGGGAAAGGGCGTGTTTTTGGGGGGGGGGGGGTAGAGAAAGTGAAAGTTGGAGGAGAAAGTGTCCAAGGGTTGCAAAGGGCCCATTAGCAGATCTATAGATGTTATTGTATGGGGTGGAAACATACACAAACTTGAGCCCGAGCCCTCTTGTTGGAGAGCGCTGCTGCTTTCAGCGGTACTTAATGCTCTTATCCCATGGAAATCTTCCTTTGGGATGACGATATGAACAGTTAACATCATCATTTCCCCCCCCGACCCCTTCCCCCAGTCCCCCTCTGGTTGTAAATCCATTTCTGGGCTCCATAATCCTTCTGGATGGCTTAGGCCGGGAGAAGGGGATGGGAAAAGTTTCTGTGTAGGGATAGGGAATAAAAATGAAGTGTTTCCCCCCCCAAAAAAAAAGAGTTCATCCAGCCCCAACTGGAGGGGTTTAGGGAGGAATTTGGGGAAAGAGAAGCCCTGGCCCGCTGTTACTGCTGAAGGAACGTAGCAAAGGAAGCTCAGCCTTCACTAGTAGTGATGCAGAGCAGCGGGCCTGGCTCTAAAGTGGGGTGGAAGGGGATAAACCAAGGGAAAAGTCCCCTTTTTCGGTGCATTTTGAGTCCTCCCAAGCGAGGACTAAGCCCAGGTTTTATCGCGCTGCGCTCAGCCCTTTTTAACACCCTTTGCAACCCTCTGGGTGCACCTCGGATCAACACCCAGCTCTCATTTAAACCTTCGGGTGTCCCTTCCTCTGGATGCGGGGCAGTGAGAAGTGGGATACAGAGGGATGCAGAAGGGGGTGACACGCGTGAGGAGGTGGCGGTAAGAGAGGGGTCCTGCCCCTATGGGGCCCGGCAGCATCACATGGAGGGCAGATCCCAGCCCCGCAGCAGATGTGGAAGGGACGGGATGAAGGGCAGGATGATTTAAAGGCCCGGTTTTATCGCCTCTCGGGCCGTGTTTTAAACTCTCCCGCTGTGTAAACACGCTCTTCAAACCCGACACGACCCAGATGCGCGCAGCTCCGCGCCCATGGGCGCAATCCAGCCCTGACAGCAGTGGGGCGGAGGAATGGGGCTTTATCTAGGGGTAATTCTGCTCCAGGGAAGGGGAGAGAGGGACGGGGAGGGATGTCCCCTCTGCACCCGCAATCTGGCAAACCCCTTCGCCGAGT